GATATGCCGTCTACAATTGAAAACCAACAAAAATATTAGTTGAGCCATCACAAAGTTAAATAAATTAAGGAAATAAAGATTAAATGTACTAGTTTACGTCAAAACCACTCCACATGAATAGTGATGGTCAAAATTTTTATCCCAATTGTACAATGTCACGACAAAGAATATATTCGTAGGCATCTTTAATTTCTCCCATAGCTAATAAAGACTAAAAAGATTTATATTCACACATCAGTTTCATCTTTTTAAAAAGTAGAACTTACACTATAAATAATGAATGATAATTCAATCAGTTATAGGAACATGATTCAACAATCAATTATTTGTAACACATAATATAATTTTTTTAGTTTTGAAGCTAAAATGTCAGTCTCTTCTTCATCACTGCCCATCTTTTTAAAAAACTGTAAGATAAAAAATATTAGTCATCAAATTAATTATATTATAAATATAATTATATTGGGATTACCTTTGTTAATTATTTCCTTTCCACCTCCCATAGGGCTAAAGGATAATTGACCTTGTTCATAAAGGTCTTCGATGGGCTTTAGTTGCTTACCTATAATCTCCCAAATTCCTTAAGGTAAGTTTTCCTTTCTAAAGAAATACGGGTTATGTTTTAAGGCTCAATAAATCATAAGTCTATAATCTTTTGAGTGTTGACAATCCAACCCTAATTAATCTTTTCAGATGAAAAGTATGACAAAACATACTATGGAAAGATCATTATGATTATCCTTGAGACATGGGTTCACAAGATGGCTAAGTCCATGATCTTTAAGTATTTTATATAATCTTTTAATTTTATCTTCAAAGTTTTGATGTTTGGCACATTCATATCATATCACACGTGTCATTCAAATAAATTAATATATTAAATAAAATAGCATATTTTAAATCTACAAATGAGAAATACTAAACTATTATATCTCTAACATTGTCAAGTCAGAGTAAGTAGGCCTAGATAGGAGTTGGAGTGAGCATTTAAGATACCTACACAATAAACACATATAAATTTATAAAATATGTTTAAATCTCCAAATGAATGACTATTTATAAATAAATATTTATTGCATCCTCAATTATCGACTTTAACCTTTAAGTCGATAATATTCTAATTGTTCATGCTCACCCGACCTCATTTCCAAAGATGAGGATGATCTAAATAATGGAATGTCATAAACAAATTGATATACTCACGTAACCATACATGTTTAAAAACATTAAGTATCAAAACTAATCTATATTGTGCTTTTTCATATATATATATATATATATATATATATAGGAGATCTAGTTTACATTAACATCGGTATACTCTATCTTCAAGTTTAAACTTCTTTATTCGAGCACTATTAATTGGAATCTTATGTAAGAATGATTGTCTAATTGTACTTAGTCAATAAATTTAAATCATTGATGTAAGATAATAACATGGGGTGATATATAATTGGTTTGACAAAATAAAATATAAATAAATATATACAAAATATACTATTGACAAAAGTTAGTAATGTCAACATAGGAAACTGATCCCTAAATAATTTCTCAAACATATTTCCAAAGTCAACGCTTCAACATCTACTGAGTTCTCCGTAATTAGGAACTTTTAAAATTAGAGTAATATTGTTCAGGCTAAACTTGATTAGGTCACCACCAAATTTAAAGTGGATCCCTTGTTCCAATGAACCAAAATGCTATAAAAAGTAGAGTGAAACATAGAAATATTAGGAATATTTGCTACATAATAAAAAGGTATCTTAATAAGAATACAAAGAGACGACACACCCTAAAGAAAATAAAATTGACAAAGAAAACATCCAAAATGATTGATATAATAATGATTATTGACTATACATTATAAAGAGTGTTAATGAGTAGTTGAGGAAGGATGGTGATGACGGAGGGGGTGATATAGGAGAGGATGATGCAATAGGAGATGGAGGAAAAGGTATTTCATGCTTCTTCAATTTTACAATCTTAAAAAAATAATTAATTACATATTAATTATCTATCTTCTTTTTCCCAAGTTAAAGAGATGGCATCATTTTGTATATACCTACAAAAATAAAGGTTATAAATAGAGGACATTATATCCATTAGGGTTAAAAAGAAAGAGAAATTAAAACATATACATATTAGAGAGTTTAGTACCCTTACATTCCAATCAAACAATATGTCTAACTAAATGAATTAAAATCTTATTTGGTAAAGATAACTTACAAGCAGGTTATCAATGAAGTGCAATGATATGAGCCTGCTAAAGGACGAGCGAGTTATCAAAACCAAGTAGATTATCATGTATCATCAACCATATAAGATGATAGATGATAATTCATAAAATAATGACACGCCCATACTCTAATGTTCCAAAATTTGGAACTCTATTTTATGAAATCCTACAAAGGCCGAATTGAAATCTGATGCGAGGTTTAGGCCTCATCTATCCTCTTAACATCACAATCAAGAGGACTAACTACACACTCTTATCATAGTATTTACACCATAAAATGAGATCAAACATTTTCTCAAGCTTTTAGATGTTGCACAACCACATATATTCATTATTTATCCTTCGGCACTATCACTACAAGCACATAGAGCTACATGTAGTCATTTAGTTCATGTTATGCATTATATATGAATAGGTCCTCATAAGACTTCAACCAGTCAATAATCTTGTTGGAATTAGTATGAAACAACAATTTGGATTATGCATGTATAATGACAATACTAATTTTCATAACAATATAATGGCCTCTAAAATCATAACAAGTGAAAGGGATAACAAATTGTCAATGCAAAGATCTTCCTTGAATATAGTAAGCACATGAGAAAATTCAAGTGTTAACAATTACAAATTACTTTCCTACTCATAATAATGTTGTGCAACTTCTTCCATTTCTATTAGGTGACTAGATAGGCCACTAATCGGTAGAAAACAAGATTAGGTCGATATCTAAAATATTCGACTACATAGCTCTTAGATAGTCTTGTTATTTGTTATATTACCTAAGAATTCCATATAATAGCAAGTGTTAATGTGAAACGCACATATCGATCAACATAGCAGCACATACAAATTCTCACGGGAGAGGAGCACAAGAGTTTGCCACTGTCAAAAAAGGAGAGGAGTAGTCAGTCATCATTCATCATCGAAAATGAACACAACCTAATAAAAAAAAGTACTAGTTGTCACTAAAGAGGAGCACAGGAGAGGAGAGGAGTGTCACTCATTACCTATGAGGAGCACAAGAGAGAAGAGGAGCGTTGGTTACCGTCACCTAAATTAGAGTTATACTTATTCAATATAACCCTCATTGAACCTTCTTTTATTTTTTATTAAACTCGACTTGATCCATTTTGAAGGATCTGACTTGAATCAATTCGACCCACATTGAGATCCTAATCAGACTAAACTAGCATTTGGATTAGTTGGGTTTAAATCAAGTCACTTAATTTAATAAAAATAATCAACCTAACTTTAAGGATATTTTTGATATTTTAAATAAAAGAAATACCTCTGGTAAAAAGCAAACATGGGCCATTTGATGAAACGCTATTATTAAGGGTAAATTATCCAAGATTATTTAATAAAATTAGTGACAAAATGTATAGAAGCTAAAGAAAATATTTTCATAAAATAAAATCTCTATAGATTTTATTTTATGAAAATAGTTAGGGATCCAATAAATCAAACATTGACTAATTCGAAATGTTAAGGTTAGAACGAATATCTCATATTTGAAAATTTACGATCAATTGGACCAATATATAAGACCACTTCGCATCAACTAATCTTTTAAAAAATAATCCCCTTAGGATAATAAACTAAGTTAACAAAAGTTCATCTTTTATGAGTCTGTTCATTCAATTGGAAAGAAGAGAGGTTAAAGTATAATAAAATGAAATAAAGAGTCATGAACAAAGAGACGTAAGTGGTATCCTACGCGTATTTGTCAGGGTGTTGGTGTTTGTCGACGAAATCGATCATGGAAAGCCTGGAAATAATGAAGACTCACGTTTGCAATTTTGCTGAGTTTATTCGAGGTTGAGGCAGAGAAGGTTGTCCATCCATCCACAGACCGCTTTTACCTTTATTTAGAGGAGTTTGTTGCCACCAAAATAGGATAAATACATAGGCCACTTCGTTTGGTTTTCTACGATTGCCTGCAACACAAGTTTTCGTCAGTAAGACAGCAATCTTGCTTTTGATAAACTTGTTGTAGAGATGAGTCCCTTGGGTCACTAAACTGGAGTTCCTTAGCCACCAAGGCGTCCGTCCCTCATGTTCAACATGAATGGCGGTAATGGACCACAGCTCCGCTGTTCTTTCCTTGGCATGATCCTGTGCTGTGTACTCTCTTCCAAACACAACTCTACGAGTCTGGGGTCTGAAGTAGCACTTTTCTGCCTCAATCTGCTCACTCACCTTTGCAGAAAAAGGAGAGGCACTGGAATCTGATCACCCTTCCTTCCGTGAAGGCCCCTCCTGTTTCATGTCTCTGCATCGAACCAGAAATAAAAGGTATACTCCCAAAAGAACATCTGTGGCATATAACTACAAGATCATTGGAGGATTTGTGAGGAGATTTGATTAACACACCAAAATTGTGGAAACATCAGTTTAGCATCAAATATGCACACACAATAGTACTCTTTTCCGTGTACGTTCTTCAGATGATGATGTGGTCCGATTATTTGTTCGGTCCACACCACACTTGGAGAAAGGTGATGTGATAAAAGGAGCATCTAAAAGATTCAAACGAGGCAGTGAAGAGAAAGAGTGACCATTCCAAGCGCCGAGCAACTCGATTGCGATACCCACTCGAGACTGCAAACTTTAGCTCAATCGATGAGCATCATCTTTGATATCAAATAAGTGAAGATGGAGATTGCTATTCGCAACCTCTTATTTTATATGATTATTTTAAAAATAATATAATATAATTGACTAGATGAAGTTTAGTGAGTACCAATCGTAAGGGCGTATGACATTAAAGAAGAAAGACCAAAATGGAGTAAACAGCTACACAACTAAGCAGTACTAATTGTCATCGTTACACAGTAGTAGAACAGTGAGTTCCTTGCACCAAACTCATCGGTCCCGGATCAGCGCCGGGTCTCGGCACTATCACAGCAACGCAGTCTACATCGATTCTGTAACTCCCCGACACCCAACTCCCCACCTTCCATCGGAGCTTCCCGTCGAGCTTGACCTCAAGATACAGCCTCCCGGCGGTCTGGTCGCGGCTGACGTGGTAACCAAACGAGGGAGCAACCGGCATGGCGATCCCATACAGGGAGGAAGACAAGATGTTGATGTCCTGGTGGCCCTGGTAAAACGGCGGGAGCTCGGAGTCGCCGGTGATCTGCTGTCCTTTGTAGGCCGCGTAAGCACGAAGCCGGTCGTAGTAGATGCCGACATGGGAGTTGGGGTTCTTGGAGACGACGGTGGCTTGGATGGTGGAGTTGAGGAGGCGAGGCGAGGCGAGGCTCAGCTCGTAGACTGCGGTGTCCCTAAGGTAGAATTCCGGCTTGGTGGGGTGGAGGACGAGCCAGATGAGGAAGACTACGGAGAGGATGGAGACGAGAAGGGAGAACAAGCTGTAGAGAATCTTCTTGTTCGGCTTGTTCAAGTGGAAACCCTTCTTAGAGCAGTCCTTGGGTGATGTGGTGACGAGAAGAGACATCTGCTATGAAGGTGGGATGATTTGCAGCAAGAGAGGGGTTGAGGATGAGACTGCAGCGAGGAGATGTCTTTAATATGAGAAGGTGGTGCGCAATACATTATCATGCACAAAGCTAAACAATTATTTGTAGAGAACAACGCAGCCTTTTGACTAGTAGATAGGGTTGTCCACTGTTCCATGTACTTTTAAGTGTACACAGTAGATATCAGTGATCCAAGCATGATGATGCATGGAATTTGGGATCAAAGCATAATCTGATCTGATGATTCGAATCAGTGGTTGAGATTCAGACGATACACTTTGTTGTAGCCCGAGTATATGATCCACCTTGTGGAGGAAACAAACTGACAGAAAGCAAGCTATCAAAAGAAAAAGCTAACTCGTTCTTTTGGGGTTTCAAGCAACTATGATTGGGGAGGATCGATTGAGATGGGGAAAGTGCGGTTTGGTGTGCTCATGGTGAGTGGTGGAAGAGATGCAATTTGATTCTCTAACTTTGACATGTCTAGCAGTTTGGTGTTGTTTATGCCACCTCAACACACCTAAAAATGTTCTTTAATTAGAGGGCAGATTAAATTAAATGCAGAAGGTTTCAGCAAAAGAAAAGGCTTGGAATCATGTACTACTGGAATACTTAACTGAAGCAGAAAAAGGTGTGACTTCTCTCTTCTCAGTTCTTCACATGTTAGCTAACATTCTTTAGAATGGCAGGTTGACATATTAATAGGTAACAGATGGATAAGTGAACAATCCTTTCTTAAAACAATTGAGTCTTAAACTCATACTTATATACATCCCCATTTAATATTTTCTTCATGTGAAACTATTAATTTCATAATCAAGTACTTGGCACATCCCATTTAATATACATCCCCATTTAAAAAGGCAATTAGGCAGCTTACCATATAAACTGTGAAACAAGAAGCAATATATGATATCTTTAAGATCAATTAAATCAATTTTTTTTCCACATATAACATATATATTTATTTTTTCTATAAGCAATCCTCTCTAGCTAGGTTGAATTTGATGTTCGAATAACATATTCTATTAAAATTCAGAGGAGAACAAAATTGGATTTCTTCTTTTCTTGTAGAAATAATTATTGATGATAATATTCGATCTTTAATAGATCATTTGTCTTGTATTTATTAAATCGAACTCATAGCCCACGCGTAAATAAATTAGATATACTATAATTTTATGTATCAAATTTTTTGAATGAGGATTCAAAGTCTCAATTGTTAGTAAGGAAGTCAGGCAGATGATTTTTCCTTTTTCGTTTCTGATATTAGTTGCATGGACCATTTGATTTTTCTCAAGTTCATGAATCATCAAATTATAAAATGAGAAGAGGACAAAGTATGGTTGAGGAATCATAGAAAATTGAAAAGGAACCTTTTCGTAGTGTTTTGTGATCATTAGTACCTACGCTTGGAGTTCAGTGGGGTTCCCAAAAGTCACTTGCTTTTTGATAAAGATGATCAATGTTAGTGCTCTTGGGTGAGGAATTGGAGGCTCATCAGCCTCGAGTTACTTGCAGTGACCAAATGTTAACTGGGAACATTCTTGAGAATATTATATGGTCCAATCATGAAAGGCCTGAATCCAACTTGTGTGCGTATGTCTGTGTCATCAAAGCTTCTTGGATTTATGAGACCCATTGAGAATTCCTTGGATGTGTTAGTAGTGGTGGACATAAATTTTCATCACCTAACTTATCAGGTTGCTTGTTCACTAATGCAAGAATCCTTCATTTCCTTACAAAAGGGTCATTGTCTGTGGTTTCAATCAGGTCACCAAAAGATACACCTCTTTTTAGCTATCCTTGTAAGCTAGAGAACTTTGAAACGCTTTCATGGTGCTGATCCCACTCTTTAGAATGCTAACTACAATATTTCTGAAGCAGATTTACTACGAGGGTTCTTTTGTTTTCATCCTACAGGAGAGCATCCAGTTTCTCAAGTTATTCTGCATTTATTCCTGACATGATTAGTAGTACTTACTTAGTCATTAAAACAACAATCTAATGGAAAATAATAATATCCAAATATTAATTAACAATATGCCTTAATAAAATGGATGAAATATTATCAAATGAGATGCCCATTTATTAACAATATGCCTTAATAGAATTAGGTCTACTAAATCCACTGTTGATAAGGTCCATAGGTATTCAAAAAGCAAATAAACCTACAAAACCTGGCATCCAATTACTCTTGTGGACGTTGGATGTCTCTGTTACAGTCAGCAAGCACTTTGTTTCAGGGAAAGGTTACTTTCTTTGACAAATGATTTATATCATTTAGAAAGATGAAGATATCATTGGTTTCACCATCAATTCACCTCAAAAAGGGTGCAAATATCAGAGTCTACATAACTCTATCCAAGGTAGAGAACCTCTCAATCTAGAATTCTACTCTTGCACAGACTGAATACATGTGTAGTGGAATTGTTGTTCGATTTAAAGTTGTCTTGAAGCATTTGATAACAATAGTGAACTTAAACTCTCTTAATATGATGCATGTGATGCAGTTCCAATAAGAGATGTCGACAGAGCCTGTGGAGTTGGGAACAATTGTTCAAACAAGCCTGGAACAGTACTGCACAAAAATGTTACAATACAATTTTGGGAAGAATGAGCATTTATTTTATACCCATCTGTAAAATTACATGAAATTTACTCCAATAAGGTCACAAGAATCAACAAGCCTTGTACTTTTTTAATCTGCACATGTGCAAATTTACTGGTGAAGGGTATTCAAGTCTTAAATTTGGTCAATGCATCTTAGGATACATCTCCCCTTCTGTTTTCTCTTCTTGTTCATCGTTTCCATGAAACAGAAGGGTATAGTGTTCATCTAAATGGACAGATCAAAACAGTAAAACAAGGTTTACTGCAAAGAAACCTCAAAGATGCTCGGCCAGAACTATGGTTGCAACTCTCCTCAACGAGTCTGAAACTTCCTGCTGAAACAAACAAGCGGATGCCAACAGGAAGGTGGCACTTGTCCAGAACTGACCTTTTTGGGCTCACAATAAAAACAGAATCTTCCTTCAAAACCTGTCATGAGCCGAAGTCACAGGCAGCTTTGTGATGAACACAATTTGATATCTACTTACAGATAAAATTGACTAACCCTGTCTGCAAGATTGTTGAGAAGCTCTAAGTCACTCTTGGAGGAACCTGTTGATTTCTTCAGTTTAAGAAAGACAATGGGTGATAATGGATGGCTTGCAATTGTCAATCCCGGTACATCTGACAAGCCTGCACTCTCATAGATTCCAGGAGTTAAGGCGCAAACAATTACGACAAAGATAACAAACATCGACATACACATCACAAAATCATGTTGAGATTATTAGACAAGGCACTATTAGCACTTGGTGCCATATTCACCATCCAACTATGTGAAATAAAGCAAACATTGATAATTCAGTTAGTGCAACATTTGGCATCCCCACTATGTGAAATAAAGCAAGATCATTGACAGCTGTCAGATCCTACTGTTTGTGACACATGGAAGCATATTAAATGAATAATTGGCCATTGTTAGATAACAGGATGTAGCTAGGCCAACATTCCAAATTCCAAATAGGCACATGTTGAGGTTTGATATCTTAGTTGTTGGAATGACTAATGAAGAGTTTGACCCTGTCAAAGTTTGATGATCCATATATGAGACAAATTCAATATCAGATGATCAATACTGTAAGATGGCGGAATAAGTGAGATTCAATCTATTCTAGGCAATGAATGGTCTCCTGGTTGGTCGATCCAAAATGAATATACTGCTTGGACTGCTTGAAGGCTACCACATGGCTATATATATATATATATATATATATATATATATATATATATATATATATATATATATATATATATATATATATATGTGTGTGTGTGTGTGTGTGTACATATATACATATATATACATATATATATATATATATATATATATATATATATGTAATATGTATATGTTTATGTATATATACAGACAATGATCTATGCTCAACATAGATAAAAACGTGTACATGCAAAAAGGCATATGCAACAAGTGAAGATGACACCAAGATTTACTGATTATAGGTTTCTCCCACGTAAAAAAACTTGGAACGGGAGAAACGGAGGGGAACAACAGGGCAAGGAAGAGAGAACTAATGTAACACATTTTGTTATCATTAGCTATAGCATTAAATAATGACATAGAAAAATGTTCATACAACCAGGAAAAGCATCGTGCAATTCATGGTAGGGGAAAGAACAAACCTTTCCATAATAAAGCAAAGTTGCTCCTCAATGATGTAAGAACAGTGGGATTGTCCTCCAAATAATTCACTGCAGAAATAGCAGCACTTGCAAGATAGGGAGGCAACGATGCAGAAAACACATACCCTGAGATACTCAGACGCTGCAAAAACAAAATTCCACCACTCAGTCAAAAGCAGAGCCAACATGATTGTGCCATTCAGATCAGCAATCAATATGTCTCCTTACTTGGTGATCAACAACTCTGACTTTTCCAGTGAAAAAATCCCCATCAGTTGCCAATGCATTCCCCATACCAGCAGTTATTATATCAATTTTATCAATCTGCAATATGAGTTAAATTTAGAAGCCACAGTAGACAAATATGATGTGTGTTGACAAATGAAATATTGTGAACTGACTTACAGAAACTCCATAATATTCAGCAAGACCTCTTCCAGAGTTTCCAAGCACACCAAATGAATGGCTTTCATCCAATATAACCCGAAAGCAGTATTTCTCCTTCAGCCACACAATCTCATCCAATGGGGCTATTTGACCAGAATTCTGATTCCATTCACAACCACAGTAGTCTCTTAGATGTAGGAATTAAAATAGTATTATTTAGATGCTTTATAAATTATAGCTGTAACCCAATTGTAATTTGTAGGCTGAAATAGGAGTTTTGAGATTATCATAAGATCAGAAAATTTTATTGACTGAAATGAATTTTCACAAAATTGGCATCAGAATTTACAAGGAGGTTAAACACTATTGACTAAAATGAAATAAGGCAACTAAGTGAATCCAATCAAGTAGGCCATT